ACCAAGCTTGGACTTTTTCTTTTTTCTTTTCTTTTTTAAGTCCAATGGCCTTTTCATGTTCTATTACATCCTACTAGTAATATAGAGGCCTTAGCTTTAGGTGTTTTAATCTTGTAAGGGAAATATCATATAGGTAAGTCTTAACTTGCTTTGTACAGAAAGTAGCAATTAAGGATGGGAGACAAATAAGGACATGAATAGTTGGGAAAGTCTACATGAAAAACCTAGGAGTGGGAGATTTATTTTTCATTAAATTAAAAAAAAAACTAAGTCTTTACTTTGTGCCATACTCTGCTAGGTGTAAAGTTTACAAAAATGGTTAAGACTAGCTCCTGCCTTTGAGTAACTTTCTGATTAGGGGAACAGATCATAATCTAGTGAACCTATAGAACTGATTAGGATTTACAAAGGTAGGTTCTCAGAAGGAAGGGTGGTTCATAATTGGACCAAAGGAGAAAGCAAAAAGGCATGCAAATAGTGGATTTTTTAAGAACTGGAAGAGTTCCCAAAGTTTATTAGTTTGATAGCAGAATGCTCTATTCTTTTGTTACTTTTTAACTAAGTTAGTCATCGTTAATGTATCTGAAAATGGGGACAAAAACAATTTCTTTCGGCTGTAATTCCATTGTTCCCCCTCTCTTTTAAAGTTTTGAATCTATACTTTAGGGGCCACACTTTAGAAAAACTTTTTCTATGTATTAACTGCTAAATAGCGGTGAAACACCAAACACTGAAATAAACCCTAAGCTCGTCTTAAAACAACTGAACAGGTAGGTGGTAAGGGAACTGGCATTTGAGCTACGCCTATGTTACTAACTGGCTGTGTGTCCTTGAGCAAGTCACTTTTCAGGATGTTACCTTTTCTATCATTAAGGGGAGTGTGATCCAAAGGTCTACCTCACAGGGTTTTGTGAGAATGATTTAAAACACTGCTTGTGAAAGCATTTCCTCTACCACATCTAAGATGCTTTTGTTATCTCTGGATTCTTTCCAGTCTTCAGATTTTGAGATTTGGTGCCTCACGATCGAATAAGCCTTAAGCATCACTACAAATACCTGATTGTCCCTCACGGGCGAGTGCAGCTTCGCGCTGCCTGGGTCTGCACAGCACGGTCTTGTAGTCTAAGCCACACATTCCGAGAGGACGAGAGAAGAGGCAAGAGTGAGAGAAAGCTGTAGTTTGAGCCCGGGAAGAAAAAATGGTGGAGCGTGCACCTGTCACAGGATCCTATCCTAGGCACTCTCCTATGCGCATGCGCAGTAGCCACCCCGCGCCGCCCCTCCTCCGAGTGAGCTCGCGACTACGTGCCGTAGTCGGGCGCGCTGACGTTTCACGACGTGCGCCGCCCCAGTGTCTGCGGTCGCTGGGTGCGCGCCGCGGGCTGCACTGCCGGCCCTACCAGGAGAGGGCGGAGCTTCCGCCGGGGCCGAGGTGGGTGCGTTTTGCCGCCGCCGAGGGATAACTTTCTGGTGCTGGCTCTTCAGCAGTTGCCAGTCACGTGGACGTGTAGCCTCGAGACAGTTTTCTCGTTCCGTTTACAAAAGCATCTTCCCTTTGGCCGTACAAGCGGTGACTATCATGTCGAGCTCGCGGGCCAGGCCCCGCCGGGAAGCCGTCAGTGGCGCCGCCGCCACCGGCCGGGACGAGCTGGTGTCGCAGTCCTTGCAAAGCGCAGAGCACTGTCTGGGCGTCCAGGACTTCGGCACCGCCTATGCCCATTACCTCCTTGTGCTCAGCCTGGCGCCGGAGCTGAAAGACAGCGTGAAGGTGAGGGCCCTTTTTTCTCTCACTTGCGGGGAGATCCAACATTCTTGTGAAAAAATAAAAAAATTGGGCGGGGAGGGGTGGCGTTAGGGCGCGTGCCTGGTAGTTGCTGTTAATATTTACTGTTCACCCTTGATTCCTTTCTTTTATTCCACCTACATCCAGCCCAGCAGAAAATCCTGTCGGTTCCACCTTCGAATGTCTAGAATCTTCTCACTTCTCACCGCCACCTTTTTTACTGTACTGGTTCCAGTCTCAGTCCTCTGCCCACTGTCGCAATAGGCCCTCAGCTGCGGTCTCACCTGCAGTTTAGCTCAACAGAGCCAGCTTTTTCTAATAAAGTCAAATGAGATCACTTCTCTGTTTCAAAACTTCCATCTCACTTAAAATACTAAAGGCCCTTGAATTGCAAATGAAGTCTCAGGTGATCCTCTCCCTCTCTTTATAACTAATTTAATCGTGTTCCTGCCTCAGGGCCTTTGTATTTGTCCCTACTGTGTGTAGAAGGAATATTGTGGATCTCTGTAGTTGAATGAAATTTGCAGTTAGCTTAAAGTCATGGTCATTTGATGATGCATTCTGTAAGTTTTAATTATTGGATTATGTGCAAAATTATTCTGTTGAAATGTATATGTTTTTTCAAGTAATTTTAGAATCTAAATTTCAAAAAATGATTTACCTTAATTTTGCTTTCAGTTTTCAGCCATAAGCTATTTTGCTTTATTTAACTGAGGGTTTCTCAACCTCAACACTGTTGACATTTTGGATGGGATAATTCTTTGTTATGGGGGGCTGTCCTGTGCATTGTATGGTGTTTAGTGGCGTCTCTTACCTCTACCTACTAGATGTCAGTAGCATCTAGATGTTTGTAGTTCACATAAATTTACTGTAAATTTCAGGACTAGTTGGTCTCCTTCAGAAAGAGATGATAATATGTTGAGATAACAGTTTGCTCCTCTAGGTAGGCAGCAATAGAAAATGGATCAACTCAAGTGCTCTTTCCTCAGTTCTTTGCTTCTTAGTTTTCTCTTCTGTAAAAAAGGGTTACTACCTCTTTTAAAGATATTTAGTGTGTATTAAAAGTATATCTAAAATTCATAGTGCAATGCCTGACATTCAGTAGGGTTCAGTAAGTATTTTTGTTTCCTGCAGAACACAGTCTATTTCTTTGCACGGGCCCCTTGTAAAAGTATCATTTCCTGCTACTCTATTCTCCACACCCAAACTCAAGCCACACCAAGCTACTTAATCTGTATATGCTCTGATCCCTTTTATATAATCTGTGTTGTTTTCCTCATCCTGGAATCTCTTTGCTTATCCTTGTCTGTCTGGTAACCTCCATTAAGATTCAGGTTTCAGGTTTCAACTCTTCTTTGTAAAATATGTGAAGATGATTTAAAATGTTTTCGTGATAAAGCTGGAGTGACTAAAGCCTTTCTTCTTTCCCCAGTGTTGCAGTATGGAGAATGGCTGGAGGGAGATGAGATTGGAGTAAGAGGACAGTGAGAAGGCTATTGCTGTAGTCCAACAAGTGGTTACAAGGCCAGATTAGGTGGTAGCAATGAGAATGGAGAAGAAGTGACAGATTTAAAGATATTGAGAGAACATTGGCTAGGTTTGAAACATTGTATGTGGAGTTAAGGTACCATTAAAAGGTGACTTTGGGGTTTGAGAGTGAATGGTACCTTAATTTTATATCCTCTGTGAGAGGAATGTGATGGGTTCAGTTTAGAATGTTTAGAATTTTTTTTTTTTTTTTTTTTT